AACGATATATGTTGATCATTAATTTCCATCAATATCAAACATGATCAATATCCTTTTCAATAGTCGTCATTCTGACATGTTTTGGTCGACTATACGAACAGCCAATGAAAAGGGGAGTGTCTCCGGGTCTGAACCAATCATGTTCTGAATTAGAACCAAGTATCAACCAACTGCAGCGTCGTAGCAGACAGCAGCTCCACCCAACCATAGCACTTTAACAGGTGAAGCCGACAGCACTGTTGGTGAGAAACAAAGAAAATGAGTGCTACCCCCGACAGAAATGACCATGAAGGCTCAACAGATGACCACATCAATGTCAACCACAACACTGGCGTTAGGAAAACGTCGGTGGTGTGGAGGTATTTTGGTTTTTGGAGGTCGGACATGAAGCAGAGTAATGTGGACTGTAAATTATGTCGAGTACATGTTCTCACAAAGTCAGGGAATACCTCAAATCTTTTTCCCCACCTGAAGCAGCGCCACGCCGCAGAGCACGCGCAACGCCAAAGGTTACAAACCCCGAGTGCAAATCTACTCATGTCGTTAGTCCGACAGGGCTTTGAAAATCCAGACTAACATCCTCAGATAGACGGTCACGTTCATTCAGACCCAGACTGGCCTGAGCGTTCTGAGCATGCTCCATAACCAGGAGCTGTGACCCTGAAGGTCAACAGGGAAAATGATGAAGCCGCCGGATTGTACGTATGAAAACAACGATCAGCTGATCTGCTCACTCAGGATCCAGGTCTTTCTCTGTCCTTGGTCCGTAAAGGTCAACAGGAATGAGCTGAAAGAGGAACGGCGCCCCCTGCTGTCGTGGAGGAGGGACAAAGACTGTAACGAAGTCACAGTCCAGGACTTTACCGGGACCGAACCACACTGACTGACACCCAGAGGAACTTCTGTGGGTCCAAACGGAGCATCAGGTGGGCGGAGTCAAAGCACACCTGAACCATTAAGTCCAAAAACCAGTCTGTGTGAGGACGCAGCAGAGCGGGGGGCGGGGGTTATGGAAGGCGAGGGGTCGGCTGAGGTGAGCCGGTGACCGGGCCGGGTGGAATTTGGGTCGCTCGGTCAGGCGCTGTTGGCACACTGACCTCCACGCTAACTCCCAGCATGCCTCATTTCTATCGATACCACACTGTCCCTGCAGGGCCAGAGTGTGTGTGTGTGTGTGCGTGTGTGTGTGTGTCTGTGTGTGTGTGTGTGTGTGTGTGTGTGTGTGTGTGTGTGTGTTGTCCACAAACAGACGCTCCAACAACTAAACAAACAAAGTGGGTGAAGAGAGAAAACAGACAAAGGTTTCATGACTGTTTACACGACGTTAGAGATATTATAGATATTATAGATATTATAGTTACTATAGATATTATAGATATTATAGATATTATAAATATTATAGATATTATAGATATTATAGATATTATAGTTACTATAGATATTATAGATATTATAGTTACTATAGATATTATAGATATTATAGATATTATAGTTACTATAGATATTATAGATATTATAGATATTATAAATATTATAGATATTATAGATATTATAGATATTATAAATATTATAGATATTATAGATATTATAGTTACTATAGATATTATAGATATTATAGATATTATAAATATTATAGATATTATAGATATTATAAATATTATAGATATTATAGATATTATAAATATTATAGTTATTATTGATTAGTGCTGGACGATAATTCGATAACAATATATATCGATCGATAGACGTATGGTGCGATAGAAAAAAAACGGGTCGATAAAAAGTTCGATAGAAAAACACAGTTTCCCTTTCTTTTTCATCATAGCCTATCATGTAGCTTTTACTACAGTCATTACTTCCTCCCAACCAATCACAAACGCAGACCCAGGTACGCTACAGCACCAAGCCCAGCCCCTCTCAAACCACAACAGACAGCACGTGTATTAGAAAAAATGATACAGCAAGGAGAAGCAGAGGACATTGTCCCGAAAAAAGGTTTCAGTAGTTCACCAGCATGGCAATGTTTTGGTTTTTAGAAGTCTGACAAAAAGCGAACAGCGGTCGTTTGCAAAATTTGCAGAGAATTAGTAAAAACCAAGTCTGGTAACACAACCAACTTGTTCTACCATCTAAACCGATCGCACCCGCAGGAGTACGAGCTGTGTCGGCCGCGCCGCGGCTCCACGTCGTCGTCGGAGGAGGAATCCTCTGGAACCGCTGCCAGCACCAGCACAAAGCATGTGAAGCCGACCAAACTGGACTTTGTTTCTTGCCAAAAATACGACAAAGCGTTCGAGCGGCATAAGGACATCACCCATGCAGTAACATGCTCCATAGCGAGGGACATACTGCCAATAACTACCGTTGAAAAGCCTGGCTTCGACCAGCTTCTAGCCACTCTCGACCCGCGATATGAAGTGCCCGGCCGCAAGTATTTCTCAAACACAGCGCTTCAGGCATGAAAATGGGTCAGGGGTTGAAAAGGTGAGAAGGGTGCGGAGGAAATACGCTCCGGTGTAGCTTCTTAAAGTGGAAGAAAATGAGCTCATATTTTACAAAGACGCGAGTATTTGGATCATGGCTACTAGCAGGGGGTGCATTCGGCAGGGGTGCATTCTACGACACAACACCGGCGTGGATAAGTCCTGCTTCTCGTGCTCAGTTTGTGTATTAAGTCAATCACATGATAATTAAAAATAAATAAATCTCCCGACCCCGGGAGAAATATTTCAGTGTTCAGACACCAGGCTGTGGGCAGTTTCCCACACAGTTAAAACTGGTAGTATGCTATTCCCACCTAAAGCTATTCTGTTTATTTATATATTTGTTTGTTTTGTTTATTTTCATCAAAACACTATTTAAATATTTATTTATCAGATTTTCTGGTCACTTTAGTCTTTATGTTTGTCAGTATTTACTGACGTCACTCAGGCCACTTAAGTTGATTTCTATTTTTTTTTAGTTCTTTTTTAAAAAACTTTCAGTTGTGGTAAAATAAAAAAGGTGGTTGAATAAAGGTTTGAATTTGAATTCAGTGCTTGTGTGTTCTTTATTAAAAGTAGGTCATTAAGCAATAGCATAAAACATCCAGGGCTGCAATTAAAATATATGTTAAATAATTATAATAATTATATCGATAATTATCGATATCGATCAATATGATTTATTTTTTATCGATATGCTTTTTTTCTATATCGTCCAGGCCTATTATAGATATTATAGATATTACAGACGTTAGAAATATTAGAGATATCCGAAAACTACATAAAAAGAAAATTCTTGAATTGACAGGATCACAGTTGGACCTTCAGTCCTCAGACCGAGACGGGAGATCAGAGATTCAGGACCTCAGATCGACACCAACCAAAAGTTCCTGAGAACTTTAACGAGCAGAATTTCAAACTTAATCTAAGTCTACGTTCATCTGCAGGTTCTGATCCACAATTCAGAGTTTCTGTTCAATCCGATCTTTTTGTGCCGTCGTTCACATCAAAACAACGAATACGTCCGTGAAGTGACCCTCATGAACACAAAACACAGATATCTTTCCGCTCCTGTTTGGTGACGTTTGTCTCATATTGATGACGTAAAGGTCGGATAAACGCTGTTGGTTAAAGAATCAGAATTGACCTGCAGTCTGAACGTAGACAGAGAGAGGGAGAGAGAGAGAGAGAGGGGGGGGGATGGTTTTTCAAAATAAAAGTCCTTTAAAAAGTCAAACTGGAGAAGGTTCATCTAGAGCTGGATGAAATACTCCTGAAACAGGATGTGGGGTCAGGACTCTGTGGGTTCAGGACTCTGTGGGGTCAGGACTCTATGGGTTCAGGACTCTGTGGGGTCAGGACTCTATGGGTTCAGGACTCAGTGGGGTCAGGACTCTGTGGGTTCAGGACTCTGTGGGTTCAGGTCCACCTGTCTCCACCTGTCCGACCCAACAACACCACTAACTTCCTGACCTCACTGAGAGGGGGCGGAGTCAAACGGGTCCCCACATGGAGGACAGCGGGGGGGTGAGACGAGGAGGGCGGAGGGGAGGAAGTGGTGATGTAGGAGGAGGTGGGGGGGGGGGTCTTCAGTGACTCAGGATCTGGATTGTGCTGCTGGGAAACGGGGCACAAAAGAAACCAGGGGAGTCCACTTAATCCCGGCGGGGGGGCGGTCACTCTGAAGCGGGGGGGGGCGGGGAAACACCGGCGCTCATTTATCTGATGCGGCGTTTCATTAGGACGCCACTAACTGCTGCTGGGCCCTTTGTCTTACTAATCCTCGCCATCAAACATGCGTGCAGGGGCCGGGGGGGGGGGGGGGGGCAGAGGGGGCCAGGGGGCGGGGCTAGTGCTGGGGGGGTTTATTACTTTGAACGGCGGGTTTTTTATGGAGAAATCAAACGCCTGACCACCTAGTGCAACCTTTTATCACGCCGCAGCTCAGAGGACAAAAGGGCCGGGGGGGGGGGGGGGGGTATTTACTCAAGAGACACTTAAACAGCGTCTGAAAAAAAGGGGGAGTTTTTTTAACGGGGGAGTTAAACGGAGAGACGGCAGAGCGAGACGGACAGACGGACAGAGTCCAACAAAGACGACGCAGATCTGCTTCACTAAAAAATAAAAACATGGAGTCAACAGCGGCTTAGCGGCGCTTATCCGAGCAACGGGAGATAAAACGCCGTCTCCGGGAGTCCGTGGGAGAGCGAGCGAGGGCCGCGGCCGCAGAGAGAGAGAGAGAGAGAGAGAGAGAGAGAGAGCACAGATCCCTGAAGCGTTTCCTGCTGCAGAGCAGAGGTTCGCTCACCGCCGCCGCCGTGGCTCCCGGCTCCGCTCACATAAAGCGCCCGGCCTCCTTAATGCATCAGCTGTGGGGGGGGGGAATCGGACCGCAGCGATGCATGGAGGTCACAGGAGGGCACGCCCCCAGAGGAGCAGCGCTCCTCTTTTTTCTCTCTCTCTCCAAACAGATTTTTGATTTACTTCTGCTCCTCGCTAAGATCGAGTTTATCTTTACTCCTACTGAGAGGAGGAGGAGGAGGAGAGAGGGAGGGGGGAGAGAGGGGGAGGAGGAGGGGGAGGGGGAGAGGGAGAGAGAGGGGGGGGAGAGAAAAGTGGTGGTGAGAGTTTCTGCTCCTCGCTAAGTTCGAGTTTATCTTTACTCCTACTGAGGGAGGAGGGGGGGGGGGGGGGAGAGAGGGAGGAGGAGGAGGAGGGGGAGAAGGGGGGTGTTTCTAGTCGTCATGGAGACGTCTCTGATAAATCTGTAGTTTTTTTGCTTTTGTTTTTTGAATCTGAAGCAGGAAGTCTCTGCTGGTCCTGGACTCCTAAAATATCTTCCTGCTCCCCCTCCTCCTCAGTGCTCCTCCTCCTCCCTCAGGACTCCTCCTGCTCCTCCTCCCTCCTCCTCCTCAGTCCTCCTTCTCCCTCCAGCTCTGAAACCTGGAGCTCAGACTCCTCCACTCCTCCTCGAACTCAGGAGGTGATTTCAGGAGTTTCACAGGCTGGAGAAGTTCCTAAAGGGGGTCAGGGTTTGTGAGGAGCCCAGCTGGTTCTGGTTCCAGATGAACAGCTGAGGACAGAGGAACACGTGCGCTCCACTGAGAAGGTACACTGTGTTCTGGACTTGGCCTCAGCTCTGAGATCCAGGTCTGACAGATCTGGTTCTGATTAAGTCCAGGTCTACAAAAGTCTACCTGACTCCATCTTGACCTGCAAAAACCCGACAGGCCAGAACTTTATTTTGAAGGAAAGGAGACAGGAAGTCAGAGAGGAACCGGAGGAGGTGAGACAGAACTTTGGATTCTACTGTCACAGATCCTTTAGTGGGTGAACAAGAACCGCCCAGAACCAGAGCAGAGGATCCAGAGTAGAGCTGGGCGAGACGGTAAAAAGTTTATCAGGATATATTATTGATCATATCAGCTGATATCGATCAATATCAGGATATAAAAATCTGTTAAAGTGCTATGGTTGGGTGGAGCTGCTGTCTGCTACGACGCTGCAGTTGGTTGATACTTGGTTCTAATTCAGAACATGATTGGTTCAGACCCGGAGACACTCCCCTTTTCATTGGCTGTTCGTATAGTCGACCAAAACATGTCAGAATGACGACTATTGGAAAGGATATTGATCATGTTTTATATCGATATTGAGGGAAATTGATTTGCGATATACATTGTTATCATTTTATCGCCCAGCACTAATCCAGAATCCCAGTGCGAGTCCAGCAGCAGAGTCCTGGTCCTGGTCTTGGTTCTGGTCCCGGTCCAGCAGCAGTGTGTGTGTGTGTCTAACAGTTGGTCACGTCTCAGCAGCGTTCTCAGCGCCGCCGCTCCCTCGGGTTTGGACTGTGTACATTCTGCCGAGTCACCGCTCCTCTGGGGAACGGTGGGAACGGTGGGCTGAGCTCAGCAACCAGCTCGCCGCTCATCCATCTCACCAATGAGCCGGCCCTCTGCAGGGGGTTGTGGGTAAATTTCTGTGCTCTGCAGAGCAGCAGAGACTGAATCTGGAGAAGTGGACTCGCTCGGTCCTGTCCAGCTGCTGATTTAGGCCGCAGGATGAGAGCCTGACCACTCCCCCTCCGCCCGAACCGTCTGATCTGAGCATGGAGTGAAGGCGGAGGGCGCCGCGCCGCGCTGCAGCAGCAGCAGCCGCTCCGTGCCTCCTTAATAATGGACGCCGTGTATTAGCCCTGACAGTATCATTTATGGGCGAGCTGCACGCCGCGGCGGGCCGGCCGTGGGATGCTATCGTTTAAAAGCAATATGGAGTGGAATTATTTATGAGGGCACTGTCTGCACACACACACACACACACACACACACACACATAAAAACACACAATACACACATAAGTACACAACTCCCTCCTCTCTGATATCCAACGCACCATGAAGGGCAGAGATGGACCCCAGTTCAACAATACCACTGTGTGTGTGTGTGTGTGTGAGTGTGTGTGTGTGTGTGTGTGTGCCTGTGTTTGTGAGCACATGTATGTTTGTCTGTGTGTGTGTGTGTGTGTGTGTGTGTGTGTGTGTGTGTGTGTGTGGTAGCACTAATTCAGACGCTCTGAGAATGTAAACAAGTGTTGGGCTGAAGTCTGTGAGTGTGTGTGTTAATGTGTGTTAGTGTGTGTTAATGTGTGTTAGTGTGTGTTAGTGTGTGTATGTGTTAATGTGTGTGTGTATGAACCTTCAGCCTCTCTCTGCACTCAGGCCCGGTCAGCAGGGACTTCAGAACCAAAACACCAAAACACAGCGGAGCTAATCGAGGCAGAGAGGGGGCGGGGCCTAATCTCTGAGCTGGAGTGAGACTAAAAACCACCTCAGTTCTGTTTCAATGAAAATATAAAAGAGCTCGTTTTTAAGGGCCACAGGGGCTACAGGAGCCACAGGAGCCACAGGAGCCACAGGGGCCACAGGGGCCACAGGAGCCACAGGGGCCACAGGGGCCACAGGAGCCACAGGAGCCACAGGGGCCACAGGGGCCCCGAGGAGGAGTGAAGATTATGAGGAGATTCTTCAGAGATTTCTGATGATTCAGACTTTTATTATATTTGTCATGTTACGAAAGAGGATTCCTACAACTAACAGTCAGTTCAGAGTATTTGTAAATAAAAACTCTAAAATTATTACATTTGAGGGTTTTTATTTGTAAATAAGAAATACTCAACATTTATGTAAAAAAATACTCAAAATTTTATTTATGAATAAATTTTTAAATTTATAAATAAATATCCTTAAATGTTATTTAAAGTATTTAAAGTATTTTCAACAACAATGAAATGATGAAAAGGGTGCAGGCTGCTGTTATTCTTGTGTTGTATTTGTTGTTGCTGCTGCTGCTGCTGTTGTGTAGTGATGCTATGTAGTTGCTGTTGTTGTGTAGTTGTGTACTAATATTGTTGTTGTTGTTGTTGTTGTGCAGTTGTGCAGTTGTTCAGTGATATTGTGTTGTTGTTGTGTTGTTGTATAGTGATATTGTGTTGTTGTTGTTGTGTAGTGATACTGTGTTGTTGTTGTTGTTGTTGTTCAGTGATATTGTGTTGTTGTTGTGTTGTTGTGTAGTGATATTGTGTTGTTGTTGTTGTGTAGTGATATTGTGTTGTTGTTGTTGTGTAGTGATATTGTGTTGTTGTTGTGTAGTGATATTGTGTTGTTGTTGTGTTGTTGTTATTATTGTTGTTGTTGTTGTTGTTGTTGTGTAATTGTGTAGTGATATTGTGTTGTGTCGTTGTTGTGTTGATGTTGTTGTGTTGTTGTTGTTGTTGTTGTGCAGTTGTTCAGTGATATTGTGTTGTTGTTGTGTAGTGATATTGTGTTGTTGTTGTGTTGTTGTTATTATTGTTGTTGTTGGTGTTGTGTAGTTGTGTATTGATATTGTGTTGTGTTGTTGTTGTTGTTGTGTAGTGATATTGTGTTGTTGTTGTGTTGTTGTTGTCCTTGTTGTGGTTGTTGTCGTGTGTCCCTTGTTCAGCTCCAGCAGAGTTCAGGTAATTAAGGAGCAGATGTTGGTCCTCTGAGAGAGACGCTGCTGCTGTCAGCTGATCACAGACAGGTCAACCTCCTCACCTGCACACACACACACACACACACACACACACACACACACACACACACACACACACACACACACTCACCTGTCAGTGTACAAAGGACGGCACACACTCTGACACAGAAACCAGCGGAGAGTCCAACAAGCCCAAAGCCAAAAGCATTCTGGGAAATGTAGTTTAACTCCTTTACTTCATCGAACAGTTGGAAAAAAGTGTCAAACCTGACATCACTGAGCTGGACACACACACACTCACTCACTCACTCACTCACTCACTCACTCACTCACTCATTCACTCACTCACTCACTCACTCACTCACTCACACACACACACACACACACACACACACACTCAGGAACAGTACAGTAATGTTCTCTCAGAGGTCACTGAGTGCATGTGTGTCCTCACTGTAACCACAACATGTATGTGCCATTAGAAACATGTGTGTGTGTGTGTTAGTTTGTGTGTGTGTGTGTGTGTGTGTGTGTGTGTGTGTGTGTACTTTTCGTCACGTATGCCTCTAAAGTTTCACAGCCCAGCAGGAGAGGCTACAGCCAGAGGGTCTCACTTCATACGGCGCCAGCACTATCAGACACACACACACACACACACACACACACACACACACACACAGATAGTTAGATATGGTTGTAAGTGTTGTGTGTGTGTGTGTGTGTGTGTGTGTGTGTGTGTATTACAGTGTGTTGGTGATGAATGAAGCGTGGTTATCAAAACATTTCACAAAGACCTGACAATGCCTTATAACGAGTCTGTGTGTATATGTGTGTGTGTGTGTGTATGTGTCTGTATGTGTGTATATGTGTGTGTGTATATGTGTGTGTGTGGGGGGGCTCTCTAACTCAGACTCTGGATAATGACAGAACACAGACTCAAGCTCCACCAATCACAGCCCTCGATTCCTTGAGACACATTCAAACTGAAAACTGGATCCAGGTTTGTCTAGAACCCGAGTCCCTATCCTGAGTTTGGACCTGAGCCCAGAGGACATCAAACCAGGATCAGGGGGTCTACTTCAGTCCCTTACCTGGAACAGAGGGAGTGATGGTCCTGCTGCTTCCAGAGTCCACAGGTGTCATGACCCAGGAGGACCCCTCTGATTCTCCGATCCCAGAGAGGGTCTGATTTCTCAGAGACAGGGTTCAGTCTTTATGGAGCTCAAAACTGGACCTGACTCAGGAACAAACCCTGGTCAGTTCCTGCTCTCAGAGCTCTCTCTGTTCCAGGAACTGTTGAAGAGGAACCACATTTAAACCCGACTCCCAAGTTCCTGGAACCACTGAGAGGACGCGGCTAAAATAACCCGTCTGTGACCCGGTTAATCTCGGACACTCACACCCATACCTGTCTGACCCCCAACCACACACACACACACATACCTGTCTGACCCCACACACACACATACCTGTCTGACCCCACACACACACACACACACACACACACACACACACACACACAAACACACACACTCACACACTCACGCTCACTCACACCCACACCTGTCTGACCCCACACACGCCTGTTTTCTTGAACTCAGAGTGCAGAGGACAGGAATAATGGAGCTGAAGGGGACTGCAATTAAAGCCAGGTTACACACACACACACACACTCACTCACACACTCACTCACACTCACACACACACATACACACTCACACTCCCTCACACTCACTCACACACTCACTCACACACACACACACACACACACACACACACACACACACACACTCACACACTCACACTCACACACACTCACTCACACACACACACACACACACACACACACACACTCACTCTCACACACACACACACACACACACACACACACACACTCACTCACAGACACACACTCTCACACACTCACACTCACTCTCACTCACTCTC